AATTCAATCTGGATTATTTAAAATTATCCATATAATCGACTTAATCGAGTATGGAAAATTAATTAATGATTTGGAAAGGTCCATCGAGTTAAATATAAAAACCCATCATCCTTTATACCCTATCCTATCCTTCGAAACTAATAATATAAAAAGTTATTTGACCAGATTGAAAATAAAAAAAGGATATAAAAGATCCATTGATAAAATTGGCACCACATGGAAATGGTGAGGTGGCAGTCCAGACCACCACGATTTTGAAATTTTAACTAACAAATTAAATAATGTTTTAGAGAATAACAATAATCAAGTTGTTGGAGCACGGTGCTTTGGTAGATCTAGCAAGTTGAGTTTGTAAGCATTTTAACATGTGTACGAATAATGTAGAGCAAGATCAATACCAGTTTTGAGTCATTTCTTTTACTCATTTGAGCTTTCAGCTCTTGACATTCGCACTCAATTATTCGTACGCATGTTAATTTGCAACTTGAATTCTATTGTAATATAAAAAGCCTCTTCTGTTCTCTTTGAAAAGTGTGTAAAGAAAGACAATCTGTGCGCTAAAATTGAACAGTAATGTTTTATAAATAGTTAAAAAAAACAAAATATATATTATATGAATTGTTACGTGTGTAATTAAGTAAATAAATCGTAAACTACAATAATTTGAACAAAATTTGTATTAATTTTTTAAAGCAATTTATTTAAGTGAATAAATTAGCATCACCTCGTAAAAGACATTGTTAGTATTTGATAAAATATAAGTAATAATTATTGTAAAGAAAAAGACTAATACTCAAAACATCATAAAAAAGCTTATGATTAAACATTGGCGACCGTGACAGGACACTAATATGAAAATAATATTCGAACGTTTTAAAAACGGTCATAAGTACTAATCAAAGATCAACGCTTTAAGTGCCGTGTAACAAATTTTCTAATAAGAAAAGTTCTTACTTAAAACAACAAATAACAGACATAAAATAAAACACTTCAAGGTGTGTATAATTAACAAAGATAAACTTTAGACAAAAAGTGTTAATTTAAATGATAAAAATAAATTCTAATTTTGTTTATAAATATATAATAAAAAATTATTTAAAAAATAATATTTGCAAATTAATAAAATTGCTAATTTCAAACGAAATTTCTAAACTTAACGTTAATTAATGGTCGTGGTTACCGCGTGGTAAATAAAACGTTACCGCGTGGTAAAATAAACGTTATTCGAGTGTCGAGGTTCGGTAATATGCGGACAATAACCGCTACTCTATGCACAATTATTTAAGTGCATGTGCTTAGAACTTTCGCTTTCGTTCGCATCATTCGGTCAACCGATTAATTAATCGTTGTCGCACAATTATTTAAGTGCATGTGCTTAGAACTTTCGCTTTCGTTCGCATCATTCGGTCAACCGATTAATTAATCGTTGTCGCACAATTATTTAAGTGCATGTGCTTAGAACTTTCGCTTTCGTTCGCATCATTCGGTCAACCGATTAATTAATCGTTGTCGCACAATTATTTAAGTGCATGTGCTTAGAACTTTCGCTTTCGTTCACATTATTCGGTCAACCGATTAATTAATCGTTGTCGCACAATTATTTAAGTGCATGTGCTTAGAACTTTCGCTTTCGTTCACATTATTCGGTCAACCGATTAATTAATCGTTGTCGCACAATTGTTTAAGTGCATGTGCTTAGAACTTTCGCTTTCGTTCGCATCATTCGGTCAACCGATTAATTAATCGTTGTCGCACAATTATTTAAGTGCATGTGCTTAGAACTTTCGCTTTCGTTCGCATCATTCAGTCAACCGATTAATTAATCGTTGTCGCACAATTATTTAAGTGCATGTGCTTAGAACTTTCGCTTTCGTTCGCATCATTCGGTCAACCGATTAATTATCGTTGTAGCACAACTATTTATGCGCAAGTGCTTAGTGACTTTCGAATTTGTGCACTATTTCGGTATCGTGTCGTGATATAATATATATTAGACTTTCGGAGAGTGTAATTATTTTGACTCATCAATAATTTATTAAATCGAGATGACAACACCCAACACAAGCCAGACGGCCATGTCAGAATTGGCAGAACTCAAACAGCAAAGGGCCTCAACCAAAGCGAGTATCAGTAGGATTAAAGGGTTGATCGAAACCCACATAAAGGGGACTGGAAAATTATTGTCACAGCCGGAATTAAAATGTAGGCAAGGTATCCTAGATTCTTACTTTAAACAGGTCTTATCATTTCAGACATCAATTGAGAAACTAGATGCTACCGATACGTGCAGAGCTGACTTAGAGGAGCTTTATATTTCAACAAAAATTTCCATATCTTCGCAGCTGAATGATGAAGCTAATAATTCTACAATGATGGACAACACAGCATTGATACCTCCTGTGAGTAAGAAGTTGCCGCATTTGAAATTACCCACATTCAGTGGTAAGTACTCCGAATACAAGAACTTCATCAATTCTTTCGTCCAAATTATTGATCGAGAAGCGTGTCTAACCAACATCGAAAAGTTTAACCATTTACGAAATTGTCTAACGGGCCAAGCATTAGAAACAGTGCAGGCATTCCCCATTTGTAATGAAAATTATCCGAAGGCTTTAGAGCGACTTAAAACACGGTATGACAACAGTACGCTGATTTTCTTAGAAAACATTACAGCTTTATTTGATTTGCCAGTGGTTTCGGATCAGTCTAGCCACCAACTTTGCAGCCTAATCGATAATGTGTCTGCACTGTACGGTTCACTCTGCACGTTAGGCTCTGAAAAACAAATATGTGAGGCAATACTCATTTCATTGGTAATGCAGAGGGTGGATGAAACTACACGTAGGAAATGGAAGGAGGCGCTATCTCTCACCACTCTACCTAGTTGGAACGACTGTTCAGCACTGCTTGACAGACATTGTCAGTTTCTAGAATCTCTCGATCACAAGCCATACAACCATCTATCGGTACATCGTAAAGCCAACAATATTAAGGCCAAACCCATCAATCGTCCTAAACAGTATTCGTTCGCTACAGCTACTTCCACCCAGTCCTGCTTACTTTGTTCAAGTCATGAACATTTAGTGCAGAAATGCCCTCGTTTTAAATCTATGGAAGTTAACCAAAGATTTGAGAAGGCGAAATGTTTGAAACTCTGCATTAACTGTCTATCGCCCCGGCATCGAGTGGCCAATTGCACATCATCATTCAAATGCCGAATATGCGCAAAGTCACATCACACACTCTTGCACCAACCCAATAGCAATGACCAGGTTTCGGATTCACTAAATACCACAAGGCAAACTCTGTTGCCCAATAACAATGTTGCCAGTCACTCTCATCTTGATATGTCTTCAAATGAACAAATAATTTTAGCTACGGCGCTGGTTTTGGTGAAAGATTCAGTTGGAGGTTATCAAGTGGGGAGAGCGTTACTCGATTCGTGCTCGCAGGTTAATTTTATAACAGAGGAATTCTCAAAAAATCTTAATTTGGTCAAATACAAGCGACCGGTACATGTGGCAAGTATAGGCAGCACATTTGCTAATATAAAGCATCAAACATCCACTATCGTAAAGTCACGTCATTCAAATCTTGAGCTGGATCTCAACTTCTGCGTTACTCCTCATATTGCTTACCAGCCAAGCTCAGAAATTGATGTATCATCATGGAACCTCCCGCCGAATACTTCACTCGCAGATGAACTATTTTTTAAATCCAAACGTATCGATCTCTTACTAGGCACAGAAAGCTTCTTTGACATTTTATCCATCGGTCAAATTAAACTGGGTGCGAATCTTCCAGTCCTGCAAAAAACATTGTTTGGATGGGTGGTATCCGGTAGATGTCAAGGTGTTCTCGATAATCCCACAGTTGCAAACTGCCTAATGTCACTAGATGATACCGTATCCAAACAACTAGAAATGATGTGGAAGATAGAGGAAGTACAATCAGCTGAAAAATCGTGGTCACCAGAGCAATCGAAGTGCGAGACCTCCTATCAAGAAACAGTTCGACAAGCTATGGACGGAAGAATTGTAGTTCGATTACCATTTAAGGAACCACCAACCACCCTCGGTCTGACACGCAGCATTGCCTTGCGTCGACTTCTAGGTATAGAACGACGCTTATCATCCAATCCTGCATTAAAACGCGATTACTGGGAGTTCATGAAACAATATCTGGAGTTAGGGCATATGACGCGCGTCGAAGATCCCAAATTGAACGAACCGCATTACTATATCCCTCACCATTGTGTTCTGAAGCCTTCCAGCACGTCAACAAAGTTGAGAGTAGTTTTTGACGCATCATGTCCAACTTCATCTAGTCGTGCGCTAAATGACATTTTGCTGGTAGGCCCTACCATTCAGCCGGAACTATATCTGCTCCTTCTTCAGTTTCGTTTATACCGTTATGCTCTGACAGCCGACATCGTAAAGATGTTCCGACAAATTTTGGTGGACAAAGGAGATCGAAGGTTTCAATATATCCTCTGGAGAGACACAGATGCGGAGCCTGTTAGTACTTACGAACTCAATACTGTCACTTATGGCACAGCATCGGCGCCGTTTTTATCAACTAGAAGTTTACAATATTTGGCCGATAAATATAAAGACAAATACCCATTAGGCTCTCCACTTCTTAAATCGTCATTTTTTGTGGATGATTTTATTGGCGGAGCCGACTCCAGTGAAGAACTTGTCGAAATTAAACATCAACTGACTGCAATTCTGAAGGAAGGTTGTTTTTAATTGGATAAATGGCATTCTAATCATGTGGATTTTGTAAGCGACACTACAACGAAGAGTTGGGATCTGGGTTCGGATACGATCACTAGCGCATTGGGCATCAAATGGCATCAACTTCATGATGTGTTTCTATTCTCTTTCAATGTCCCGATTAGTCGTACGGTAACAAAACGTTCTATTCTATCACTGGCCTCATCACTGTTCGATCCTCTTGGGTTACTCGCTCCACTTGTACTTGTTTCAAAAATTATTATGCAAGAACTCTGGCTGCTTCGTTTGAATTGGGATGAGTCAGTACCTCAAGCTCTTCACTCTGCATGGGAAACGTTCGTTCAAGACCTCCATACACTTTCTTCTATGAAGATACCGCGATTTTGCCTAACAATAGGCCCTCAACAAGTAGACATCCACGGATTTTGTGATGCCTCAATAAGAGCATATGGATGTTGCATTTATCTTCGTTCTCAGGATAAGTCAGGTAACGTGACAGTCAAACTATTTACTGCAAAATCCCGCGTAGCTCCGATAAAGAGGAAATCGTTGCCTAAGTTAGAGTTATGTGGTGCGTTACTACTTGCCAGGTTATTACAAAAAATTCAGCCGACACTCGCTCACCTCGAAGGAGAAACATTTTTTTGGACGGATTCCCAAATAGTTCTGCATTGGTTGAAACAACATTCCTCGACTCTGTCTGCCTTTGTAGGCAACCGTGTGGCTGAAATCCAAGATATAACTCGCGCTGGTCAGTGGCAGCACATATCTACAAAAATTAATCCAGCTGATATTGTTTCTCGTGGTTGTACCAATCGCCAACTAACGGAGTCTACGTGGTTCACTGGACCAGAATTTTTATTACGTGAAAGAAAACATTGGCCTCAACCAGAACATAGCAATTTAGATATGGAAGTAGTCAATAAGGAAAGAAGAAAACTTGCGTTTACTCAGGTAACTAAAGAAAATTATTTGCTGACAGTTATATCAAAGTATGGCTCCTATACTAAAATACTACGAATAGTAGCGCAACTACATCGATTCCATCAGTTAACCAAGTATAAAGAGAAAGCTGACGTAGAGTTCATTCAACCTATGCAATTACAAAAAGCACTGCATTGTATTGTTTGGATTATCCAAAATCATTTTTTTTCTCAGGATATACAAGGCCTACAGCGAGGTAACCCAGTGGAAGGGTCACTCAAGCACCTAAACCCATTCTTGGAGGAAGCGTCAGGTTATCAACTCTTAAAGGTAGGAGGGCGTCTCGCACTTAGTGACATTGCCAGGGGTCAGCGACATCCGATTCTACTGCCTAAAGGCTGTTATTTTGTGGAATTGTACGTTCGGCATCTTCATCTGAGCAACTATCATGCAGGAGCCAAGGCATTAATCGCCCTTACTCGACTTAAGTTTTGGATACTAAACATTCGCGATATTGCGCGTCGAACGGTTCGGTCTTGCATTCACTGCGTGCGTTACAAACCGAAATTGCTTGGTCAAATAATGGGTAACCTTCCTATTGAACGCGTCACTCCCAGTAGGCCATTCGCTCGTACAGCAGTAGATTTTTGTGGGCCAGTATTAACGTATCTTGGTATTCGGGGAAAAGCCCCATTCAAAACGTATATAGCTATCTTCGTCTGCTTATCAACAAAGGCGGCACACATCGAGGCAGTGTCAGATTTAACTACGGACGCCTTTATCGCAGCACTAAAAAGATTGATCGGCAGAAGGGGACTGCCATCAGATATCTACTGCGATAATGCAACAAATTTTGTTGGTGCTAGCAACAAGCTGGCTGACTTGAAAAACTTTTTATTTAATAAAACTAACCAATCTAATTTGCAGACTTTTTGCACCAACCAATTCATCAATTTCAATTTTATACCGCCTAGGACGCCTCACTTCGGTGGGCTATGGGAGGCGGCTGTGAAAATTGCTAAGGGCCATCTGAACCGAACCCTTGCAAACACTCGTCTTACGTTTGAGGAACTTGGAACAGTACTGATTGAAATCGAGGCCATACTTAATTCGAGACCAATATCACCGCTGTCTTGCGATCCAAGCGACTATGATGCATTGACACCAGCACATTTTCTTATCGGCGGCCCACTTAAGACATTACCGGAATCAACATCTCAATATGATAAATTGCCACTAGCAGATAAGTGGGTCCGTGTGAAGGCTGTAAAACATCATTTCTGGCGCCGATGGGCTCGAGATTATCTAAACGAGCTGCAGACACGTACCAAATGGACAAAGGAACAATCAAACGTCAGCAATGGAACATTAGTAATAATCCACGAGGATAATATGCCCCCACAACGTTGGCTGATGGGAAGAATCATTCACTGTGTAAACGGTCCAGATAAGCATATTCGCGTAGTCGATCTGCAGACATCCAAAGGAGTCATCCGTCGACCAATCCACAAACTTGCACTATTGCCAGCTTGAAATCCTTTCAAGGGGGGCGGGATGTTGGAGCACGGTGCTTTGGTAGATCTAGCAAGTTGAGTTTGTAAGCATTTTAACATGTGTACGAATAATGTAGAGCAAGATCAATACCAGTTTTGAGTCATTTCTTTTACTCATTTGAGCTTTCAGCTCTTGACATTCGCACTCAATTATTCGTACGCATGTTAATTTGCAACTTGAATTCTATTGTAATATAAAAAGCCTCTTTTGTTCTCTTTGAAAAGTGTGTAAAGAAAGACAGTCTGTGCGCTAAAATTAAACAGTAATGTTTTATAAATAGTTAAAAAAAATAAAATATATATTATATGAATTGTTACGTGTGTAATTAAGTAAATAAATCGTAAACTACAATAATTTGAACAAAATTTGTATTAATTTTTTAAAGCAATTTATTTAAGTGAATAAATTAGCATCACCTCGTAAAAGACATTGTTAGTATTTGATAAAATATAAGTAATAATTATTGTAAAGAAAAAGACTAATACTCAAAACATCATAAAAAAGCTTATGATTAAACACAAGTTATTATTAATAAATTAAATGTACAAAAAATTAATGAATTGTCTTAAATAACAAATGAAATAAGAAGAAAGCTTTGTGCAGAAAAGGTGTAGAAGTGGATCGCAACTCAGACAAAAACCACTTCTAAATTGCAATAGGTACTCCAAGAAATGCAAATTCGCTGTGAAACTAGACTAGACTTTAATAATTTCTTTTCCAAGGAACAAATAAATTAAAAGAGAAAAATAAATTAAAAATTGTATTTAAATAAACACAAACAGATACTTAAACAGATACAGAATTGGTAAAGCACATCTTATACTAACTTTTCCTGAACGGTGCAAATTTAACAGTGGGAATCCAACTCAACGGCACGATTGAGAGATATAGTTGAGCAAGATTCAGGGCTTCAACAGTATCTGAATCTAGTTTGCAAGGGGTATAACACACGTAGCTTTAACAGTCACGTATGTCGGAAGCCATAGTGTCGGAAGCGAAAGGTAGCTTTAACAGTAACCTAACGTCTCCGGCCCCTTGGACGCTTTAACAATGAACAGGAAAGGGCGAGTGATCTGCGACCTATAACACAACACACGTTGCTTTAACAGTCACGTGTGTCTGTGTTATATCGTATCGGCTGTCTGTCATGGTAGTATTTGCAACACCATATATCTCCAACTGAGTTCATCATCGACTGACTGGGTCCCACCAAATAAATTTCTTGTGTGGACCTTGGCGACGGCCGAGTTCAACCCCAGAAAGATACAACTAAAACTAAAATAATATAAAAATAAAAAAAAAAATGAAAATTCTGGAAGAATACACTAAAAGGAAATTGGAGTTAAAAGAAGAGGGACTTAAAATAAAAGCAGAGCAGCACAAGGAAAAAATGAAGCCGTTGGAAAAAATAGCTAATAACGCACGCTCCAAATAAATTTTAAGTTTATATTAAGTTGTATGTTTATTCGTCGTATTAATTTATTAAAATTATGTACTTATGTAATTTTTTTTTTTTTATTTGAATAAATGTATTTTATTTTATTTATTTGCTAGTATTTATATTCTATTTATCTATTTATTTAATATGTTATTATTTATTTCCTTATATTATATATTTAAAGTAATGTTTTAATTATTACTATAATAATAATTATTGTTTTTATTATTCATGTTGTATTATTATTGAAAATTGTTATTGATGTTTTGTTGATTTATTAAAAAAAATTAAATTGAAATGAATATTTTAAATTTTAATTAAATTCTTTTATTTAATTAAAACACAATACATAATTTACTTGTAGAATAAAGCAATTGTAAATAAATGAAAATGAAATGATTCGATGTTAACTTGTTATGAGACCAGTATCTATTAAATATCGTAAAACTAAACTCCGTCTGTTATCCACTTCAAAATTTCGCGCATTTATTATACTCGTAAAGTTATAAAAAGTAATGCGAGTCAGTTGAAAATTTTCGGAATGTACAAAAGAAGGACAGTATTAACCGAGTTTTTTTTTTTTTTTGAAAACGGTCCTGAAAATAAAGAGGCGCGCTGTCAGTTGCGGTGAACTGTAGCGTGCATAAGCATTCACTATGTGAGTAAATAAGCATGCTGACATTTATTATACCTTTATTGCATTTTTGCAATATGAGCCCCTACCGTCCGTTTGACAATAGTGTTTGGGCTAATACACACTTTTCCTCCACGAATACCTAACTATGTAAAGATAATTATTAAAATAAACAGTCTTAAAACATAACTGAAATGCTTTGGTCATTTTATTTAATTAATCGGTATACGGAGAAATATCTCTACAGAAGATATTTACGGAAAGTGGAAGATAAAAAAGGCGGTGTAAGTTGGAATGTAAGAGTTTTTTGGTCTTAAGTTTTTAAACTGGAGGAGTGTTGATAAGAATTTAAAATCGCAACGAATTATAACACGAAAAAGAAAAACAACAGTGAAATATTGTTTGAAGGAATCCTTTAGAAATAAAGTCAAAAAGTGTTTTCAAAACCTTGTGCAGAATAATTCTAATTGAGCCAAAACATTTTATTTTGTTTGAAATAATTATTAACTGACGCCATAAGAAGGACATTGAGCGGTCGTTAAGTTATCTTCAGATAGTAAGACATAGCAACAATACTCTTGAATTTATGTTTTCTGGTTATATATACAGTGAAAAAGAAAACTTTTCTTTGCTACCAAAGTGTTCTAATGAGAAATTAATTGTACGCTCAAAGCTAAAAGTGAACTGCAGAATTTTTTTTGGAAATTTGTGAAGTGCGCCAAAAGAAACACTACCCTGATAAGCGGAGCATCAAGTTGTATCCAAAAAGGAGATAAGCGAAAACTGGCATGCTGAAGTGATTGACAACCAGAGCTCTGCATTAATGATAACATTTGTAATTAGATTAGACTCTATTATAAATTACGGAGTAATTTAATTGATAATTGAGTTTCTAGATTACAATTTAATTGAAAACCTCAATTACGAATTGCAGTATAATTGTAATTTGTAGTTGAGTTGCTAAATTACAGGTATAATTTTAATTGAAAAACCCCACTACGAATTACGTGCAAAAATTGCAAAAATAATCTAGAGAAGAAGCATTGAAACTTCTGGACCATTATAAACGAATCGAAACTATGGTTGGATTTTGGATTTTAAGTGGCCCGCATTTAGTTTGCGCTCTCATTCATAGTCTCTTGTTGGGTTGCTTGTTTTTGATTGATTGTACATTTGCTTATGAGTTGCGCGTAGATTTTTTTAAGCAAGTTTAGGAAGATCTTTGGTTTTGTGCATCACATATATATATGCAAATTTGTAAGCATTATATGAATGTGTGTACAATGTGTATGCAAATAATATAATTTTATCTGTAATGAGATTATGCCTACATTTATGTTTTAGAAATTATTTTTATTGCTAAATACGATTTTAAAATTATAATAACATAAATGAGTAGTAATATGTAGTTTAAGAATAAAGTTTTTGGACAAAGTCTTATGCTGGATGTATATTTGGTTTTGTACAATGAACTACAAGAAATACGTTGAGCATAAAACGCAAAACCATAAGGAAAGTTTTTATAAAATTATATAAAATTTTATAAAATAAAACGTTATAAAATTAGTTGTTGACGCTGCTCTGCATATTTCCGTCGTAGAGAATATCTACTTCAGAAATCTTTTCCATCACACTTCGTTTGTAGAACCAAGTCGAAGAACATTTATTGGTGCCATCGAAAATAAATTTGACTTGTTGCAAAAATCCCTGAAGAAAACTTTAGACGAAACACCTTTTGTATGCATGGCAGCTGATGTCCTGCAACAGAAGAAGCTTTTTTGGATATACTCGTCATTGGCTTGATAATGACCTTAAAAGATGCTCCGCTGCATTGGCATGCCAACGGTTTGAAGGTGTCTACACGTATGAGAAAATTGCAGATATCGTTTTTGCCTAGTAACGAGCAGAGACCTATGCTGTCAAAGCATATCAGATGCGCGAGCCACTTATTAAATTTAATAACGACTAAGGACTTAATAAATTTGATTAAAAGTGACGCAGAGCTATTTAGTATGTATAAACAGGTAATTTTTCTTTAATATAATTACAGTTTAATAGTAATTGTTATTATAGAAATATCACTAAAAGAGAAGAATAATAAATATTTTTATTTCTTCCATAGACTTTTTCGAAATGCAATAACTTGTGGACAAAAGCTGGCAGGTCAAGCTCTTCTGAAATAATGCAGAAGGTGTTGGGTTCATCTTTGAATTATGTAAATTATTATAATTTACAATAATTTATAAAAGGAAATATAGCTAAAAAAAGAGAGGCGAAACTCGGAACGCTGCCGTTATCTATATCATCTGGAGCTGAAGGGATAACGAAAAATCACTTAATTCATCGTCTCTAACGTTCATGTTAGAAAACCAATTCAACATTCAAATTTACAGAACGCCACCATATAATAGCGCGTCTAATGGGCAAATCGAACGTTTTCATTCCACTCTGACAGAAGTCATGCGTTGCTTGAAAGCGGAGAATGGCTACAAATCGTTTTCTGAATTTCTAGATAACTCTGTTTATAAATACAGCTACACTATTCATTCAACCACGAAAAGAAAACCGGTCGAAGCGTTCTTCGGTAGAAGAGTGAATACGGATCCGAAACAATTATAAATGAATAAAAAATAAAATATTAGAAACTTGAGGCAAAAACAGAAAGCAGATATTACATTCTATAATAAAAATAAAACTCCATTTAAGAACTATGACATTGGACAAGAAGTTTTTGTAAAAATTAACAAAAGATTAGGCACTAAACTTTCTCCAAAATATAAGAAGGAAATTCAACAGAAACAGAATCAAAAAAAATTGTTCACAAGAATTTAATAAAAAATTGATTTGATTACTCTCGTAGATTACTCATAGTAACATATGGTGTCATACTGACACACAGTTACTGGA